TCAAAATGTTCAGATCATGATTTTCTCTGATAACTTTGAGTCATTTGGTTGGTTATTTTGGATATGTTTTTATGTTGATTTGTGCCACTTGTAGCTCTGTTGGCATGGTCATTGTGGTCGATGTTTTTAGTTCTTTAACTGGTTTACCTTTTCCCACTTTTATTATGTTCTTGGAAAATGCAGCGTCCTGAAAAGTACTTGGGAGACATAGAAACATGGGATAAAGCTGAGGCTGCTCTCTCAGAAGCTTTAAATGAATTTGGGAGGCCATGGCAGGTACGTAAGTTTGAAGGTCATGCTGATATCGAAACTGAAATTAATATTTTGAAATCCTTAACACTCTAAAGCTGATTGACAACGTGCTCCAAATAATTATTGTGTACACGATTAAGGCATTGGAATGTGCTACTTGCTATGCTTTATATTTTGGGATAAAGATTGTCATTCTTGACTCACATGCTACAATCATTATGGATTTTTGATGCATTTATGGATTCAAATACTGGAACAGACTAATAATTCTGACTGGTGTGTATTGGCATGGATTAAAATTATGGTGTCTCTAGCTATGGATGGTCCATACTGCTGCATATGTGAACTAGATCATAGATTGCTTGGTACAAGGTGAAATGTTCTGAACCAGCAATTTGTTAATTATTGACTCAGACCAGTTCAATTTTAAGCGATATTTGACTGGTTCAGTGAAAAGTTAGACCGGTTCCGATGGTGATCTTGTACAGGTCCCAGCTGTGAGATTTTAAATCTGGGGGGGGCGGTGGGGGTGGGTGTAGGGTAGGGAGGAGGGGAAGGGAGCTTTTTAAAGGAGTGATGGAATATGTTATTGGCTTCTAAAGTTTTTGTGGATGTCTGTTTGCTGTTTTGCACCCATGATTAAAATTTTATGATACAATTATTAATTCAGCACGATGTATTTGATGGACTCACTCATTGATAACTAGCTTGTCATGTTTTCATTAGGTTCAATCTTATTTTTTATTTCAATAGTGTAGCATATAGGAGTCAATTTCGATTCAGCATGATGTATTTGATGGACTTGTTAATTGCCCTTAAACCCTATTTGTCTGGTCCTCAAAGTTCTGTTTTCAAGGGTTCTTCTCTAAGGAAATGGATTAGTAGTTTCAGATATCTGCTTTGTTCCTATAATGTTATATATTTTTTTACTTATGCCAAAAATATGTTATCATCTTCATATTGGTTCAGCAGGTCCTGATGTTTTGATTGGAATCCAAGATTCATTGTTTAAATGCATCACTGGTTTAAGCATTTTTGTAGTATATGAAGATTAATTACTTCCTATATATAAATTTAACAAAAAATCAGTTATTACACAAGCAGCTCTTGCAAATGCCTATAAGTATTTTGTTAGACTTAATTATGTTCTTTAATATTGTAAGCAGAGCACGCGGCACGCCTGTCTTCTCAGTTGTATGTTCGTGCCCTATGATTTTGAAACTATTTTCCTTCATGTTGTTTCTGTAATGCGCTTGTTTTTTTCTTATTCAGTAGTTGTGCACATTATATACATGATTAACTTTAAGAAATAGAAATCCATAGCAAACTTTGAAAAAAGATTTGAAAGAATTATTGAAACCTAATACTACTTTGTGCCATTCTCCTAAGGCAGATGTTAACTTTTAAAGGAAATCTGTTTTATTTAGCGTGCAAACTTTTTCTACAGATCAACGAAGGAGATGGTGCATTCTATGGTCCAAAGATCGATATTGGTGTTTTTGATGCATTAAACAGAAAATTTCAATGTGCAACTCTACAGGTTATGCATTGGAAAATGTACATAATGTTTTACCACAAAGAATCCCTTTTCCTAACTTGTGGATATGTTGCTGCAGTTGGACTTTCAACTTCCTCTTCGCTTCAAATTGTCTTACTCAGCAGAAGATGAAGCTAAACTTGAAAGACCTGTGATGATTCACAGGGCTATCTTAGGCTCTGTTGAACGAATGTTTGCCATTCTTTTGGAACACTATAAAGGAAAGTGGCCCTTCTGGCTTAGCCCTCGTCAAGCCATTGTCTGTCCTGTATCAGAAAAATCTCAAAGTTATGCCCAACAAGTAAGAAGCTTCCAAATAAATGCTTGTTTATTCTTGTATTTTTCAGCAAAAGAACACTATAAGAAGTTTCATTTTCTTCCCAACTTAACCTTTTAGCAGTTGATTAGTTTTGCTTATGGTATGCTATTTCTTGTTTTGCTCTAACTTGCTAATGGACATTAGTTCTTTGACTTGTTTTTCAACTGAGTATGCCACATCCTGTAAATTTGCAACTTGTTCCTGGGGAAATTAGATTTGGGTGCTTGTTTATCATGCTAAACAACAATCTTCCTGAAATAAACATGAGTTATATGACATCCAGATCTCTTTTGTTACACTATAAACATATAGAATTACAAAGATCAAAGAGGCTGCCGACCATCTTCCCATTCCAGATCTCTTTTGCACCATGTCATTCACAAGGCTCTATACATGGGCACACTTCATGGACAATTGGGCATACATCTCTATAGTTTGATTTTGCTGATACAATACTTATCAGTCAGTGCTCACTGGCATAATTTGGCAGAAAAATCTTTGCCATGAATAATCCTAATTTCCTATACATTTATCTGTGTGCCGTGTAATGGTTTTTTATGATTATCCACTTCTTTTATGTTACTTCAGGTACATGATAAGATACACCAAGCTGGTTATTATGTTGATGCTGACCTAACAGACAGAAAGATACAGAAAAAGGTACATTCTTGTTCCTTGATGTTGGATGACTGATTCTTAGTACGTTCTACATGCATGTTGTTCTATCAAGACTACCATGATAGGCAAATTTTTAAGATGTTCTCAGATGTCTAGAAATTCAGTAATTATGAGCATGTATATGCTGTAGAAGCTTTTAGTTGTAATGATCAATAACATTATTTTTCTGATTATTGATGTGCAATTTTGATATTTGAGCTATTTGTGCGAAGTTTGTGTTACAAGAACATCTGATGCGGTGAGTTAGTGCCCTTGTAGTGTTGTTCTTATTATGGCTTTAAAGAATATGCAGTTTACTTTAGTATGGCTATTATGCAACTTGAAATATTAAAACAGATTTAACTCATCTGTAGTGAATGATATATGCAATATCCACATTATGATGTGTTGCTTGATAGTTCGTTGGTCCCTAATCGGCATTCAGTGCTTAAAGTTTTTATTTACTTAATAGATGTATGTTTGATAATTATTGAATCCTTGTTCATTTTTCTTTTTGATAACCTTTGATTTGTGATTGTAAGGAGAGTCACTTTTATCTTTCATGCCTGATCTGTATGATATCTTTGTATTTAAATTTGTTCAAATTTGGTAGGCATTGCATGCCTCGATCATTCTTTAGGAGAGTCACTTTTATCTTTGATGCCTAATCTGTATGATATCTTTGTGTTTAAATCTGTTCAAATTTGGTGGCATTGCATGCATTGATCATTCTTTACTTTAAATGAAACTTGAATTGTATAAATGTGTGCAGAATCTGTTATAAACTAGCTGTCTTATAGTCCTCGAGATGTAGAACTGGATTGCAGCTGAATAAATATCAACAAATACCCTTCACACAAAGTTGGAAAAGAAATCTTCGTGATATAAATGTCTCACATGATCTTTTTTGAGATAGTTTTAAGTACGAGTCGCTTTGTATTTGTTTATGCCTTACGTGTACATCATCTTTGTTCATGTTTAAATTTGTTCATCTTTTTGTGGCAGTACATTTGGGAGGAAACGATTTTTGGAAGGGAAAAAAATTGATGCCTTATTGTCTATATTTATGTTTCTCTATATTTCGATCAAGAAACCTTGATTTTTCAGGAAAAAAGCATTTGATTTATTTGTTTATCACAGGTACGTGAGGCTCAATTGGCACAATACAACTACATATTAGTGGTGGGCGAGGAAGAAGCCAAGACCGGACAGGTTCAACCTTTCATCTTCCATTTGGATAATATCACGAGATACACTGAATTACTTAGTATAAAGAAACCGATCAACGAAAGCTTGTCTAGTAGACTAATTGACATGCTTCTTCCCGTCGCTATCTTGATGCAGGTAAGCGTCCGCGTCAGAGATGGATCGGATCATTCTGTAATGAGTCTGGAGGCTCTCCTCGAACATTTCAAGGAGGAAGTTGCAGCCTTCCATTAAATGGTTCAAAAATTGCCAAAGTCTTTTTCATACTTATTTTATTGTGGATTTATCTCAATGCTACTGGGCTTTGGGTGTTAACTTTTTTGGGTTAAATATTTCAACAGTGAAATTGTATTTTGTGACCATTCGCATATGTACCATTAGTTCCTAGTTTGAAGTTGACGGCTGCTATTTATAGGTTGTCTTATTTTGTATTTCCATACCATTGTCTTTGTACTATGAACCACTACTCTGGCCAGATGAATTGACGGTGGATTTGCTTCATGTTTAAGAATCATATAGCGTAATCAGTCTCATGTCTAAAGATAAATATAAACATAGGCTAATGGATTCCACTTTCTTCGATAATGGTTTCTTGATGAGTTGGTTCGGAGATGAGATTAGCCACAAAACCGTGTTCTAAAGAAAACAGGAATAGACAATTTTTATGTTTGACGTGGGGGGAGTGAAATGGATAGGCTTTGAAGATTATTAAGTTTCGATCGTGACTGTCTGATGCCATTAAATAAAATAATAGGAAATTTGGCATGTTGATATCAGACCACCCTACTCTTTGATCAGATTGGTAAACGTGTCGATCGGATGGTCGGCATTTAAAAGTGATCATGTTTGCTTAACTTGATGGCCTATTTGCGTTATAACCGGTGATGAGGATGGTGATTAAGCAAGTTGGAGAAGAGGCGCCACAGTGAGTGCAATGATGTCGGGCCCACTCTCCGTCCCGCTTTTTAAACCGGGAAGGGGCGCGGGCAGGCGGTTGTTACCCACGACGAATCCTCTCTCTCTCTCTCTCTCTCTCTCCCGATTGATGAAGCGGCAGCGACGATGGTCCCCGGCGATTCCTCTGCTCTTCCGCCTCTGCCTCGCCGTCCTCGCGCCACTTCCTCTTGCTACTGTGGCCGTGGAGATCCTTTCTAAATCCAAGCTCGAGAGGTGCATCAAGGCGTCCGGCTCCGATAGTGTCGACTGCGAGAAGAAGATCGTCCTCAATATGGCCGTCCCCAGCGGATCCGTAAACGCCCCTTTCCATTTTTTTCGCGCCCGTTAAGTTCAGTTAAACTGTGTGCAAAGTGTGATTTGGGTTGTCTTGCGTATTCCAGAGCGGAGGGGAGGCTTCAATCGTTGCAGAATTGGTGGAGGTGGAGGAGAATGATACACAACACATGCAGACCATTAGGTCGCCACCGATTATCACGATCAAGAAGTCGGCTGCATATGCAGTTTATGAATTAATATACATCAGGGTATGGACTGTAGACGCTGTCACTTACTGTGGATATTCAGTAGCGTTACGGACTTTATTTCTCTACTTATGATGTAAGGTTCCTGGTGGAGCCTATGCTTTTTACTTGGTTTGCATCAGTTGCCTGTTCTAACAAATCTATTCTACAGCTTATCTTTTCTCTTGGATAGCCAATGGGCATGACTATGGATAACAAGTTCCTAATGCTTAGAAAAATTGGATATGCTCATCCATTTGATTGACTTACAATTGACTAAGTTTAGAATGATGGCAATATACTTTACTCGATGCATTTTTAATTTAACAAAACCCATTCAATCCATGAAAACAATATTTTTTATTTCGTTTTATTTTGAATTAAATTAAGATACATCAAATTGGAACATTGACCGTAGTCGAATATCAAAATGTTGAAACATATATCCTACAAGTGTTAGTTGTATAACAAACTCTTTTGGTATCTTCTTTAGATCTTCAAAATGAATTTACAAGTTGTTGTTAGGTAGATAGGATACAAATGAAAAGCTTGATCGATATCAATTGGTATTGTATTGAAATTAGGAATTTGGCTTATGGTTCTGATTTTGGGTCAGTCATGGAATTGATTCAGTTTGGGAAAGGTTTTTAGTAAGTTTGTAGTTGACCTAAGTGTCATACATGCAATAATTAGTATATGCTGAGACTTGTTCTTTAAGTATTATAATTGGTTTAGGATTTCTCTCGCTGGCTCTAAACAACTGAAAACCACAGATCTGAATTTGCATGTATTATGATTTATTAGTAAAATTTTATTCTCATTGTGGATTCCATGTTAACCTAGTGTTCTCTAAGACCAAGCTTTTTCTTTTCCATATTGATATTAGAGGAGCTTTCAGGAAGTATGACTTCGGATTTGTCTAATGTGAGCAGCTGTACCCTTTATTTTTGAAGTAATTCAAATCTTTACCTTGATTGCTACGTTGATTTGTTACTTGTTTTGATATATTTCCTTTTTGTTGTGTAGCTTAAATATTTAATTTGATTGATACACTAATTTGTTACTTGTTTTGATATATTTCTACTTAGTTGTGCTATTCATTTATAATTTGTTGTTTAAACGCATGGACATGGTTCTGTAACTAACTGACAGAGTCTACATGACGGGTGACATGGGATTGCAGCTTTTAGAAGAACAAACATGTTTCTTATGTGAACATAAAATATTATTTGAAATTGTTGCCTTCATGAAGGATAACAATAAGGAGGAAAAATAAAGAAAATAATACTGAACAATTTTCCTTGCTTTCTGCTTGTACATGCCAGAAGGAATGCTATTACAATGATCATGAAGCAAGAGAAAAGATAATTGAGAGATGGAGAAATGAGAGAAGAGATTGTGGTAAAAGAATATTACAGATAACTAAGCTAAATAGCCCTGAAAATCAGGTATTGTTAGTCAAGTTCACGATGCCTGTTTTCTCCACAAAAACTGATATTTTTAGCAAGGATTAAATCACGACTGAATGAATACCTGTTTCTATAATCTACCAAACCAGTATGGTATCAATGTACAGGGAGGTCTACTGATTTGTACCACCTAGTATCCCCCAAAATAAAGGACCACTGTTTGAATACATGATTTCTAGAACTATTCTATATGATCTTTCGTCTACACATCCGATTGCCTAATTAGATGATGCTTTTCTATTTAAATCATAAGGAGTTTAGATCGATAATATCAAATGCTGGTTAGGACACTATGTTCCCATCATCGACCTATATTTCTATGTAGAATGTTCCATTCAGAATTCATTGAATAATGGAGGAAAAAATCCCCTGCTCTTCTTCTCCTCCTCTTCCTTGTTCTACCTCTTTTTCCCTTCTCCTAGCAACAATTAGCCAGCAGATGGATGCCTCTTTTGTGTTATTGCTAGCATCGTAGGGGCTGTTATTGTCTTCTACTTCCAAAACTAGGACGAAGATGCAAGTTTTGGCAGCGTGATGCATTCACAAAGAAGAAGCCTCAGGCGTGAAAATATTTGTCCTCTAAAAGAAAAAAAAGATTGGTCTAGGGTTTTTCTGGACACGTGGGAACAGTGTGATCCATGACATAGATTTACCCTTGCTAAAAAATTGAGGGTTGTCGGCAGTCCATACCAGTCTTATTGCTAGATATTTTAGGTAGTGACACTGTTTTGTCTCGACTTCATTTAAGAACTCTAATTAAATGGCTGCATTAATTTGCTTCCCCTGCAGCAAACCTCGCCCTTGATATCAAATTTTTTATTTATTTTGGTTCATATCTAATCCAAATATGAAAGATAAAAATAAAATTATAATAACCAATTTTGGAGCTTCCTGTGGATTCAAATTTTCTGGAACTTATATGATAATAACCAAGTTGGGAGAGGTCTGATGTCGTATAATTCAAGTACATGCAAGAACAAGAGGATTAGATCCCATCTATTTTCTCTTAATTTTTGGTAGGCCCTTTCTGCGCAATGCACCATGTGAACATTGGACCTAAAATGTTCCAGAGAATGATGTTATGATATCTGGTGAGTGTTCTTGTATACATACTACAGATTGAAATTTTGTCATTCTCAGCCAAAAATTCATATTGACTACAGATTCTAATTTTGTCATTCTCAGCCAAAAATTTATATTGCAATAGAAGTGAGTGTTCTTGGATACATACTAGTAGATTCAAATGTTTACTCTAAAGTCAAGTGATTGCAAATGATTCTAATGTAGGATATCATGCTAAAGTTGATACAATTCAACTGGCTTCTATGTAAACCTGAGGGCTGTTTTTTTTTTCCTCTTCTAGGATGTTCCTTATAAACCAGAAGAATTCTATGTCAAAACACGTAAATGCAAACCAGATGCTAGCGCAAAAGTCGTTAAATTTTGTGAAAGGTGAGCAGTCAAATTCTTTATTTAATGGTATTACTGTATGCCTTGTTGATCATGTAGGTGCATAATTATTTTTATCTTTTTTGAAAGATTTTATGCACTAATTGAGCAAGACCAATAATCTAATATTTTATCACATTTATTTTTGTTCATCCTTTTTGGTTGGATATTGTCTTTATCACATTGGAAAAAAAATTGCTTCATGATTTTTTGCTTTTATGATATATTTTTTTAAAATCTGTATTTGTTGTTATTATGATATAAGCTTTTGCCATCAACATGGGATAATTACAGCTGTGCTTGGTGTTTAAACAAAATTTTATTATCAGTTATGAACTAGTGCAGTAGTGCCAACTGTATAAGATTGGTGCCATATTTAGGTTTGTTGAACATGCCTAAAAACCAACTCCTTTGAAATTGCAGTTTACATTGTCCCATGGTTTGTGTCATGTGATTGCTTATGTGGATATGGCCATGTGACTTTGTTGCACAAGATCTATGCAGCCTCCGCATGGACTCACACTCTATTAACTTCAAATCTAAATTTCCTTTTTTTTTGTGCAAGTTTGGCTCTAATTAATTTAAAATTTTAAGTTGTCCTATATTTTATTTGTTACATAGCACAGTGCTGCAGGATGAATAATACCCATGAACAATAATGTTTTTTAACAAATTCCAATGGTATACAATTTTTTGTTGAACTAAAACACAAAAATAAGTAAAATGAGAACCAGTATAGCATAACAATTAACTTATTCTGAGCATGGAACTTATTTTGAGTGTAATTTTAGCACCATTGTAAGTTTATCATTTGTGCATTGGATGACTAGTCTTTGAGTCACTATAACTGCCTCTCTGCTTGAAAGAATGGTAACTCTGCATGTATTGATCTCCTTCAACGTTGGTAAGAACCTCCTGCACTAGGCTGCTCTTTCTTTGACAGCCAGCACAGTATTATTTTGCAGATCCCTAATGATTCTTACTCCTTGCTACTAACAACTCTCTAAACTTAGGATATTTAGTAAGCTACCTCAATTGGTATTCTTTTTTCTTTTGGGTACTATAGATTGGTAATTATTATATTTACTATATTTGCTAGGTTGCGGGATCAAAATGGTCATATTATCGAGCATACTCAGGTCAGGCATCATTCTCTCATCTCTTAACTATTTGTTGATAAAATATTATTTCACTTTAGTGCAAGCTTAATCATAGAAAATTGACATTGCCCATTAGATAGATAAACTAACAAAGGAAATCATTCATCTATTAGGTAGGCAATGAACAAAAGAAATGGGCCACTTTCGTAGCAGCATTTTCAAACAACTTTATATTAACAGATGAAATGAACCATTGATTGTTTAATTAATTGCTTCAAAAGTTGATGGATAGTGTGTTCACATAATGGTGGTTTTAATATAGACTGGATTTTCATTACAATCAATATATGTGAAATCCCACATTGAGAGATGGTTTTGTTTTGACTGTCATGAGCACCTGATACACCTACGTTGTGATAACTGATAACCCCATCACATTGAGAGAAAATATGGTTTTATATTTGGATTTATGACTAATTAATTGTTTACTAGTAGTTTGGGCAATTAGCTATTTGGTTGAGTCATAGTAGATGTGGTACCAAAATGTACCTAGGTTATGAATATGTGGATTGATTAATCTTGAAGGAAATGGCTATCCATCGTTAGTGCAATGGGTATGCCATGATGTGGAGTTGCCATAGCTGCATCAAGATTTTGAAGTCTTGAATGATAAGATGCATTGATGCACTATGAACTATGCCATGACAAAGGCATCAGGCCTTGTAGTGTGGGAGCTTGTGATAAGCCATTCCACAGTGACTGGGAGATGATGTTGTCTTAACACTAGATGGGTCTATTAGTAACTTGTACTCAAGTATTTTGAGCTATGTGGTAGATGCCAACTTTAGTATATTGTCTGTTTTTGGCTTGTAAGTCTTTGGGTTAGATTGTGAAGACATAACATGTCTAATAATTGTTGTGATATGCAACAGAAGCAACATAAGATGTTCTCTGAGTTGATAGCGATTCTATCCTTGTCGCTGTGAGTAAGAAATAATGTGGTACCATTGAGAGTAACTATTTTGCTTTGGCATGTGATATACAGGGACAGTATTGAAGGCCCTGTGGTAGCTTATAATCCTTATTTCTTAATATATGGTAACTTGTAATCCTTTTTTGTAATACGTCCACCTCTTCGAGGTTTAGGGGCACTTGTGCTAGGAATGCAAATTAATAAGTGGATATTCTGTTGCCAAAGAGATGCAACTGCTTGAAGGTATACTATCAAGTCATTTAGACATCTTGGTTGCGAAGTCATTTAAAGATGTCCTAAAGTAAGAAAGCTTTTGCTACAGTGGTCGAGTGCTTGACGCTTTTCTTATATAATACATTTATGATCATGATCTTCTAAGGTCCTACATGACTGATTTCATCTTCATAAGGAATTGTCTTTCTTGCTTTTGAATTTTCTTCCCCTGTGATTGAAGTTTGAACTAGTTCATAATTTGAATTAGCCACCATCATTGTTTGCCATGTTCATCTATGCATAGTGACATGTTTCTCATGTTTTGTCTGGATTTTTAAATTTACATATGGAATTCAATCTATATGTTGCCCTGATAGATTCTTGTTCATTTCAAGGGATCTTGTAGATTATAAGAATATATTCATTTCCCTTGAAGTTTACACACAATTTGTGCCTAATTTCTATCTATCATATTGATTAATACAATAGTGCAAAGAACTATGTTTTATGAATTTGTTCTCTTTTGTGATAGCCAATTTGTTGTCCATGTGGACCGCAACATCGTGTTCCATCCTCTTGTGGGAACTTATGTAAGTATTGAAATGTGTGGCACTTCTCCATTTAGTTTATGTTGGTTGCTATTGACAATGCTTTGACATATTTGAACAGTTGATAAGTTGATGAAAGGGAAGGCCAATACTGCTCACTGTCTCCGGTTCCTAGGTGATTGGTATGCCTACTGTAGCTTTTTTTTTTTTAAACCTTATACACCCTTAATATCTTTAGATTATATCTAGCATGTTTTAGATATTAAAATTATCATAGATTAACTTTAAAGCAAGGTTCGCCTTACTAGCTTGAAGTTTGAACTAATGTACCGGTTGACCGATAGTATGGTACATACCAAGGTATGCAATTTTGAATAGTACCGCCTGGTACGGGCGGTACATACCGGTCCGATGGCATATCGGTACGCGGACCGCCCGTTACCGGACGGAACGTGCTATAGTGCTACATTGCTACAGTAAGAGGAAGAAATATTTAAAACCGCTCGGTAACAGTGATACAGTGCTCCAACGGTCAAATTGACCATTGGAGCCCTTTCTCATAGTATTTAAACCCTTCTTCTCCCCTATTTCACTCCATTATATTCTCATACTCTCTTAAACTATCTCAAACTCTTTTTTTCTCACATTTGTGCTCTCCTAAACTCTACAAAACAACGATTTATGAATTGAATCGAGGCTAATTTGAGAATATTAAGAGGAAAAACTTTCTAATCAACAGGTATGTTTACATAAGGACAATCCATAATGGACCGAAATACGAACCTTGCACAAGATATTCTTTAAAGCCCGAAAAAGATATGTGATACTATTCTTACCTAATTTACATTGATTTTGCTAAACTTATGCTATTACTATATTTATTTCTAACTTAAAAACCCTATCCTAACCTTTTTTTTATTTCAGGTATTTTCGGAGGGTTTTACACCTAAATTAGGTGTACCGCTCGGTACGCCCTAGCGTACCACTCGGTACATGGTACCGTACAGATATATATATAAAAATAAACGAGGCGACATCGCGTCACCTCAACGACATCGCCCCGCGTGGGAGAAGGAAAAGGCGACATCGCCGAGGCGATGCGACGTCGCCTTTTATAAAAAATATATACATATAAAAAAAAAAAAAA